ACCGTATATTTTATTCATCTTGGTCAATATAATATTTATATAGGGGTGGATAACCTATTGGTCCAAAGAAATGATATGGAGTTGACCGGTTGATCAAAAAGGCCAAAATACCGGTACTGGTAATTTAACAGATAAAAGCCAGAAGTGAATTTCTGAGACCTATAAATTAAAAGTTGGGGAATGTATATTCACTATAAGGGTTATATTGATCGAGAACACGTAATATATTTTATTTGACCCGGTAAAATAAAATATATTTAAAACAGTCCGAAAAATACAACTTTCGGGACTGATTGTACACTTCGGGACGGATTGGGATGACCTCCCACATGGGTGGGGGCCACCCCACGAAATTGTCAACCAAAGGGGGCTGATTGAGTGCTAGGAGGGCTGGAGGACAAGTGAAGGGATGGGAGGAACACATTTGACATCTAGTGGACCCCCATTTCCTTACTCATTTGCAAAGAAAGACAAAAGAAACCATCCCCCTCCTCTCCCACTCATTGAGCTCGGCCAAGACACACCAAGGAGAGAAGAAACCTCTGCAAACCACCATCCCCCATAGCAAATTCGAGCTCAAGCAAAGGAGTCCCAAGGAGGAAGATTAAAGAAGGAGAAAACTAGGAAAAAGTGTGAAAATTAAGGTAATAACCTTATCATAACTTCTCCTCTATTTTTCTTCTATCATATGAGATATATATCATATGGAGAACCTTGAGGGTTGTTCTACATAATTTAAGTGTAGAATAATGGGTTGGAGAGTGGTTCTAAGTCCAAGAACGGATTTAGAAGCCAAACCGGCAAGTTCACCGGAAAATAACCTTTTAGGGGTTATTTGTATTGATTAAGGTTTTATGATGTTGAAACCTTGTTAGGAACTTGATATAGAGTATTTTGAGCCTCACCGGAGTTTCGCCGGAGTTTCGCCGGAGTTGGTCAAAGTTGGCCGGAGTTGGTCAAAGTCCGCCAAAGTTCAACCGGGAAGCGTAGAACGCGCTTAAGCTCACTTAAGGTGAGGATGACCGACTATATTGTTTATAATTATTGGGTTAATTTCATAAGATTGCCTAAATGAATTATATGTGTTTGGCATGAGTTATTTATGATTAAGAATGCCTAAAATGGAATATAGTATTGTTCATAAAGAAAATGCATAATATACAAATTTAAGAATAAATTGTGTATGATTATGTGTTGTGATTATAATGATCCAATTGTGGTGTAGGCTATAAAATTGTATGGTGATAAATATGCTTTTACCTCATGAAGGGAATAAAAGTGATATTTTGATATTGAATCAAGTTATACTTGAAGGTGAAATTAAATTGAAATGTATGAATCATTATGAAATTGGCGTTGGCTTATTAAGATTAGACGACTAGTATTGAAGACTAGTCGGGGATGTTAGTTCAATAGTGCTTGGGAGCTAATCCCAAAATATTGAAGCTAAGTAACCTTAAAGGATAATTAGGGTGGACTTTACGAAGTCAAGTTATGTTAGGAGTAGACCTCAAGGGTTACTCAAAAGGAATGGAGCCTAGACTAAGAAGTGGTTTAGGGATTAGATGACGTGACTATGAGCCGAGCTCTAGCACGTGGTAGTATGACTATGAGCCGAGCTCTAGCAAAATGTAGGAATGACTATGAGCCGAGCTCTAGCAAAATGTAATGTGACTATGAGCCGAGCTCTAGCACAAAAATGTAGGAATGACTATGAGCCGAGCTCTAGCAAAATGTAATGTGACTATGAGCCGAGCTCTAGCACAAAAATGTAGGAATGACTATGAGCCGAGCTCTAGCGAAATGTGGTGTGACTATGAGCCGAGCTCTAGCACAAATTAACATGACTATGAGCCGAGCTCTAGCATGAAAGAACATAAATTAATTTCAAATAGTAACATCCTAAGTTGAGGGTCTTGGAAATTGAAACTTTGATTATACTTAGTATAGTTGTCATTGTACTTGTCAAATGCTTCCAAGTACTGACCTCCCCTTCACGGGGGAGGCCACCTCACAGTTTCAGGTCGGGATTAAAGCTTGCCGCTACCCGCCCGTTGTATCGGAGAATTCAAGAGAAGAAGACGTGGTTCGTGCTTCTTCTGTTTCTGTTTTGAAAACGATTTAAACCATGCTCATGGATATTATTTTTCTTTAATATGTATTTAGGGCTTGTATGCCCATGTTGCCAAAGTGTGGCGTGCACTTTGTATTGAATATTTCCGCTGCTTTAAATGATTATTTTACATTATGTTGTTTATGGATGTACTATGTGTGAATGGTATTCAAGACGCCTAGTATAGTATGGATGAGTTGGACTGCGGTTGACTATTCGTACTGTACGGCGGGTTGTTGACGTGTCCGGTAGGTCCGGGGCGTGACAATTTAATTGGTATCAGAGCCAGGTTAGTCCGTAAACTTCATAATGAAGCTTCAAAATTCCTTTTTGAAAATGATTTTGCAAACCATGAGCATAAAGTTTTGTACTTATAGAACTTTTGGTACTTGAGTTGCAAGGTCTCTAATTGTTAAGATGGTACCCTTAACAATTGGTATGACGGTGATTTGAGCCAAAAGTTGTCTCTAAGTACCTATCCGTCACTTGACATTTGATACGAGTCTAACGGCTCATTCTAAACTTCTTTCAGAAATGGAGCCAATTGGAAGAATCACTAGGAGGAACCCGATGGGCCGTGTACCGGGTGGGTCCGAACGCGGCAGTCGGGGGTCCACTAGGGTGTCCAGGGGAAGGGGCCGTGGAGGCCAACAACAAACCGTGAGCGATGGCCACGTGGACACTGAGAGTGAGACTTATTGGTCCTATGAGGACTCAACCTATAGACCGGAAACCGAGCCGGTGGAAACCCCATATGATGGGGAAGATGACGATGTAAGTGAAGAGAGTGAAGACGATGGCACTCTTGGGAGGATCGAGGCGCTGCTCCAACAATACCACCGGGAGCGCGAAGAGAGGAGACAACGCCGAAGGCGCCGAACGGGGCAACCTTCGGGCATGGCTTCGAGAGGAGGAAGCCAAGGTGCCTCCAGAGTCCATGTTGAACTACATGGAGGCCAAAATGTGGGAGGTCCAACCATAAGGATCTCCAAATTTATCAAAGAAGCACGAGATTTGGGATGTAAACCGTTTGATGGAACGGGAGACATCTCCGTTGCGGCCGAATGGATCAAAAGATTCAACGAGGCGGCCCTTGACATGCAGCTGCCACCCATCATGAAACTGAGGGTGGCAACAAGATTGCTCGAAGGCATGGCGTCCACGTGGTGGGACGGGGTCAAAGGGAAATACGGCGAAGCCGTCACATGGGAGAACTTTCGGCAGGAGTTCTTCAACCAATACTACTCCGACTTCGAGGTAAACATGAAGAGGAGGGAGTATACGAACTTGACACAGGGAGGCGCATGTACGGTGAAGGAACTTGAGCACAAGTTCAGAAAGCTTGCCGAATTCATACCGGAGTACATATGTGATGAGAACCGGATGGTGAACCACTTCTGGGATGCCTTAGACCTTGACATACGCGAGAGGGCAACACAATTGCCTAATATGACGTTTAGTCAAGTGGTTGAACAAGGTCTGAAGGGAGAGAAGGAGTGGGAGGAAAGAAAGCGGAGGAACGCCGATGAGGCGAAGAAGAGGAAGTGGGAAAGCCATGGCCCACAAGGTTCTAACAAAAAGGGGAACCACGGGGGAGGAGGATCGTTCAGGGCACCGGCGCCGCCATCCAAAGGAAACTCGGCTTTCGGCGGGCACAACTCGGGCTCACAAGCCTCGACAGCGCCCAGGTGCCGAAATTGCAACAGGAGCCACGCCGGTAAGTGTCGTGACCCTCCTCGGTGCTACCAATGTGGAGACACGGGGCATCTTAAACCAAATTGCCCTCAACTTGGTGGAAATCGAGGGACGGGATCAAGCGGTGCTACTACGGCAAGTAGAAGTCGGACCGGAGCACCCCATGCTAGTACGGGGCAGGGGGGAGCGAGCGCCAGCAACGCGCCGTCCGTGAATCAAGGAAGGACGCAAGCTAGAGTCTACGCAATGACCGAGGCCGATGCTCGGGCCAATCCCGACTCCGTTGCAGGTAATACACGTATTCCCATGTATTTCTAGGCTTGCAATGATCATATACGTCGTAGGGATTAAGTGCGGGCCACCCCGGGGTCAAAACCGGGCAAGTTAGGCCAAATCAGCTGGAAACAGCCACTGCTGGCCAGGCACGCTCGCAGGCACGCCGTGCCTGGCATCGTGCCTGGAAGGCAGTGGCAACCGGAAGATTTTTGGGCCAGGCACGGTCGCAGGCACGCCGTGCCTGGCACCGTGTCTGGAAGGCAGTGGCACCCGAACAAGAGAAAAAGAAAAAAAAAAAAATTTTGGCCAGGCACGGCCGCAGGCACGCCGTGCCTGGCGTCGTGCCTGGAAGGCAGTAGCGTCCGAAGTGTTTTTGGCCAGGCACGGCCGTAGGCACGCCGTGCCTGGCATCGTGCCCGGCCGGCAGTGGCACGCAGAGTTAGTTCGTTGCACGCACGGTCGTGCGTGCCACCCAGGCACGCCGTGCGTGGACCCCCCAACCCCCGAAAATTGATTTTTTCACCCCGTTCTTCTACGTTTGGACCCCCGTTTGATTCCAAACCTTAGTATTGACTTAATAACCTCCTAAAGATGTGTAAAAACATTAGAAAATGTATCTTACATGGTGTATAAATGTAGGAACATTAAAGATCAATGGTAGGTGTGCGAGGATCCTCATCGATACCGGGGCACAACGCTCATTTGTGAGTGAGGCGTTCGCCGAGGGACTTGACGTGCCGTTGACACCTATGACGCAAACGTTGCTAGTCTCCACACCGTTAGGGGACGATGTGGAGAGAAATCATTACTATCCATCATGTGAGGTGGAAGTGACGGGTCAACCCTTGACTTGTGATTTCGTACCTCTAAGCATGTTGGAGTTCGATGCAATCCTAGGAATGGATTGGCTTGAGAAGCACCATGCTCGAGTAGATTGCTACACCAAGGTGTTGGAGCTCGAGGATGAGCAAGGAAACACGCTATGTTTCGAAGGAGATCGGGGGAAATCAAATGTTTGCATCATATCCGTGATGAGAGCGCGGAAGATGATGAGAAAAGGGTGCCACGCATACCTTGCTTACGTGGTAGATGATACGAAGAAAGAAGTCGACATCAAGGATGTTCGAGTCGTGTGCAAGTACCCGGACGTCTTTCCCAAGGACCTACCGGGGCTTCCACCCGATAGAGAGATTGAATTTGTAATCGAAGTGGAGCCGGGAACCAAACCCATTTCGATTCCTCCTTATCGAATGGCACCGGCCGAACTTCAAGAGTTGAAGGTCCAACTACAAGAACTATTGGACAACGGGTTCATCAGACCCAGTCATTCACCGTGGGGAGCACCCGTACTATTCGTAAAGAAGAAAGATGGTACACTAAGAATGTGTATTGACTACCGACAGTTGAACAAGGTCACCATCAAGAACAGGTATCCCTTACCGAGGATTGATGACTTGTTCGACCAACTTCAAGGAGCAATAGTGTTCTCGAAGATTGACTTGAGGTCGGGGTATCATCAGTTGAAGATCAAGGAGAGTGACATACCTAAGAGTGCATTTCGCACTAGATATGGTCATTACGAATTCCTTGTGATGTCGTTTGGTTTAACCAACGCACCGGCGGCATTCATGGACTTGATGAACCGTGTGTTTAGTGAATACTTAGATCAATTCGTGATAGTATTCATTGACGACATCTTGATATACTCCAAGAGCGAGGAAGAGCACGAACACCATTTGAGGCTTGTACTTGATCGGTTAAGGGAAAAGCAACTCTTTGCCAAGTTCTCGAAATGCGAATTTTGGCTCAAAGAGATCGGTTTCCTCGGTCATGTCATATCCGGTTCGGGCGTTGCCGTGGACAACGCCAAGATTAAAGCTATTATGGATTGGGAGAGACCCAAGAATGTGAAAGAGATACGTAGTTTCCTTGGCTTAGCGGGATACTATCGTAAATTTGTGGAAAAATTCTCCGTATTGGCGTCTCCATTAACGAAGCTCACAAAGAAAGGGGCGAAGTTCATATGGGACGACAAGTGTGAGAAAGGGTTCCTTGAACTGAAGAAACGACTTACCGAAGCACCAGTACTAGCCCTACCTATACAGGGGATAGGGTATGATATCTACAGTGATGCTAGCATCCAAGGGCTTGGATGTGTACTGATGCAAAACGGTCGGGTGATTGCCTATGCTTCTAGGCAATTGAAGAAACACGAGGCGAACTACCCTACCCACGATCTAGAGATGGGGGCGGTAGTGTTTGCACTAAAGATTTGGAGGCATTACCTCTATGGGGAGACATGTCACATTTTTACCGATCATAAGAGCTTGAAGTACGTATTCACTCAGAAAGAGTTGAATATGAGACAAAGGAGATGGATGGAGTTGATCAAGGATTATGACTTGATCATCGACTATCATCCCGGAAAAGCCAATGTAGTGGCCGATGCACTGAGCAGGAAAAGTACGTCGGGGACATTACTCACATGTCTACGAACTTTGAGGGCACAAGTGGAGATGTCCACGAGTGGGGTCCTCATTGCTAGATTCGAGGTTAGGCCCACATTGCTGAGTGAGATCAGCAGATGTCAGGCCACAGATGATGAATGCCAGAAGATCCGCGAGAGGATCCTTGAAGGGCCCGTGGAGAACTTTCGGGTACGTGATGACGGTCTTTTATTGTTTAAAGACCGTGTGTGCATACCAAAGAGTGAAGAGCTCCAAAAGTCTATCCTGGAGGAGGCTCACTCTTCGGCATATGCTATGCATCCAGGAGGTACTAAAATGTACCGAGACTTGAAGGAAAGTTACTGGTGGTCGGGTATGAAGAGGGATATCGCAGAGTACGTGAGTCGATGCCTTACTTGCCAACAAGTTAAGGCAGAGCATCAGCACCCGGCGGGGCTTTTGCAGCCACTAACCATTCCAGAATGGAAGTGGGAGCATGTGACCATGGACTTCGTGGTGGGGCTACCACGAACAGTGAACAACTATGATGCGGTATGGGTAGTGGTTGATAGGCTCACCAAGAGTGCACACTTTTTGCCTATCAACATCACTTATCCTCTTGAGAGATTGGCAAAGCTATACACAGAGGAGATTGTGAGACTACATGGAGTCCCGATATCCATTGTCTCGGATAGGGATCCACGATTCACATCTCGATTTTGGCCCAAATTTCAAGCATCTTTGGGTACTAAACTGAAGTTTAGCACAGCTTTTCATCCACAGACGGATGGGCAATCCGAGAGGGTGATACAAATTTTAGAGGACATGCTTAGGGCATGTGCTTTGGAGTTCCAGGGGAGTTGGGACAAACATTTGGCTCTAGTAGAGTTCGCCTATAACAATAGCTATCAGGCGAGTATTGGCATGCCTCCATATGAGGCATTGTATGGGAGGAAATGCAGGACACCGTTGTGTTGGGACGAGGTTGGCGAGGCCAAGCTCGAAGGGATTGAACTTGTTGAAATCACCAAGGCTAAGGTGAAAGTCATTCAGGATAGACTCAAGGCAGCCCAAGATCGGCAGAAGAGTTATGCCGACAAACGACGAAGGCCATTGGAGTTCGAGGTCGGTGATAAGGTCTTTCTAAGGATTTCCCCTTGGAAGGGTATCATCCGATTTATATCGAGGGGAAAACTCAACCCCCGATACATTGGCCCATTTGAAATCCTTGAAAGGATAGGGGCCGTGGCATACCGTCTGAAGTTGACGCCAGAACTTGAGAAGATACACGACGTGTTTCACGTATCGATGCTCAAGAAATACGTGAGAGATCCATCTCATATTCTTGAGAAGCCACCGGTAGAGATACGTGAAGATCTACAATATGCAGTAGAACCGGTGGAGATTGTCGGGCAACAAGTGAAGAAATTGAGGAACAAGGAGATTCCAATGGTGAAGGTTCTTTGGAGGAGTGATCGAGTCGAAGAAGAAACCTGGGAGACGGAGGTCTCAATGAGGGAGCAATACCCGTTTCTTTTCGATTAGACACGTGGATTTCGGGGACGAAATCCCAAATAAGGGGGGGTGAACTTGTAACACCGTCCCCAAATGTATTTACTTTTAAGTGAATAATATATTGAACCTTGTATAATAGTTAATGAGAATATGAAGTGGTGAATTTTCATTAATTATTTTGCATGAATAGTAAATTCGCACGTGGGGCCCACACCGGGAGCGGGGGCCGCCCGATATTCCCGAGACCGTATATTTTATTCATCTTGGTCAATATAATATTTATATAGGGGTGGATAACCTATTGGTCCAAAGAAATGATATGGAGTTGACCGGTTGATCAAAAAGGCCAAAATACCGGTACTGGTAATTTAACAGATAAAAGCCAGAAGTGAATTTCTGAGACCTATAAATTAAAAGTTGGGGAATGTATATTCACTATAAGGGTTATATTGATCGAGAACACGTAATATATTTTATTTGACCCGGTAAAATAAAATATATTTAAAACAGTCCGAAAAATACAACTTTCGGGACTGATTGTACACTTCGGGACGGATTGGGATGACCTCCCACATGGGTGGGGGCCACCCCACGAAATTGTCAACCAAAGGGGGCTGATTGAGTGCTAGGAGGGCTGGAGGACAAGTGAAGGGATGGGAGGAACACATTTGACATCTAGTGGACCCCCATTTCCTTACTCATTTGCAAAGAAAGACAAAAGAAACCATCCCCCTCCTCTCCCACTCATTGAGCTCGGCCAAGACACACCAAGGAGAGAAGAAACCTCTGCAAACCACCATCCCCCATAGCAAATTCGAGCTCAAGCAAAGGAGTCCCAAGGAGGAAGATTAAAGAAGGAGAAAACTAGGAAAAAGTGTGAAAATTAAGGTAATAACCTTATCATAACTTCTCCTCTATTTTTCTTCTATCATATGAGATATATATCATATGGAGAACCTTGAGGGTTGTTCTACATAATTTAAGTGTAGAATAATGGGTTGGAGAGTGGTTCTAAGTCCAAGAACGGATTTAGAAGCCAAACCGGCAAGTTCACCGGAAAATAACCTTTTAGGGGTTATTTGTATTGATTAAGGTTTTATGATGTTGAAACCTTGTTAGGAACTTGATATAGAGTATTTTGAGCCTCACCGGAGTTTCGCCGGAGTTTCGCCGGAGTTGGTCAAAGTTGGCCGGAGTTGGTCAAAGTCCGCCAAAGTTCAACCGGGAAGCGTAGAACGCGCTTAAGCTCACTTAAGGTGAGGATGACCGACTATATTGTTTATAATTATTGGGTTAATTTCATAAGATTGCCTAAATGAATTATATGTGTTTGGCATGAGTTATTTATGATTAAGAATGCCTAAAATGGAATATAGTATTGTTCATAAAGAAAATGCATAATATACAAATTTAAGAATAAATTGTGTATGATTATGTGTTGTGATTATAATGATCCAATTGTGGTGTAGGCTATAAAATTGTATGGTGATAAATATGCTTTTACCTCATGAAGGGAATAAAAGTGATATTTTGATATTGAATCAAGTTATACTTGAAGGTGAAATTAAATTGAAATGTATGAATCATTATGAAATTGGCGTTGGCTTATTAAGATTAGACGACTAGTATTGAAGACTAGTCGGGGATGTTAGTTCAATAGTGCTTGGGAGCTAATCCCAAAATATTGAAGCTAAGTAACCTTAAAGGATAATTAGGGTGGACTTTACGAAGTCAAGTTATGTTAGGAGTAGACCTCAAGGGTTACTCAAAAGGAATGGAGCCTAGACTAAGAAGTGGTTTAGGGATTAGATGACGTGACTATGAGCCGAGCTCTAGCACGTGGTAGTATGACTATGAGCCGAGCTCTAGCAAAATGTAGGAATGACTATGAGCCGAGCTCTAGCAAAATGTAATGTGACTATGAGCCGAGCTCTAGCACAAAAATGTAGGAATGACTATGAGCCGAGCTCTAGCAAAATGTAATGTGACTATGAGCCGAGCTCTAGCACAAAAATGTAGGAATGACTATGAGCCGAGCTCTAGCGAAATGTGGTGTGACTATGAGCCGAGCTCTAGCACAAATTAACATGACTATGAGCCGAGCTCTAGCATGAAAGAACATAAATTAATTTCAAATAGTAACATCCTAAGTTGAGGGTCTTGGAAATTGAAACTTTGATTATACTTAGTATAGTTGTCATTGTACTTGTCAAATGCTTCCAAGTACTGACCTCCCCTTCACGGGGGAGGCCACCTCACAGTTTCAGGTCGGGATTAAAGCTTGCCGCTACCGCCCGTTGTATCGGAGAATTCAAGAGAAGAAGACGTGGTTCGTGCTTCTTCTGTTTCTGTTTTGAAAACGATTTAAACCATGCTCATGGATATTATTTTTCTTTAATATGTATTTAGGGCTTGTATGCCCATGTTGCCAAAGTGTGGCGTGCACTTTGTATTGAATATTTCCGCTGCTTTAAATGATTATTTTACATTATGTTGTTTATGGATGTACTATGTGTGAATGGTATTCAAGACGCCTAGTATAGTATGGATGAGTTGGACTGCGGTTGACTATTCGTACTGTACGGCGGGTTGTTGACGTGTCCGGTAGGTCCGGGGCGTGACAGTAGTCCTATTTGTGCTTTTTAGGAACTCATTAGTCCTATTTAGGACAATTTCCGTAATGCTAACTAAATAAATAATTTCCAAAATACTGTTGTGTTAAAAATAATTCCCAAAATACTGCTGGATTAACCATGGTTAAGGAAAGCCACCACTTGAAGTGACGGCTTTTCTCTTACAATACAAGAGCCGCCACTTCAAGTGGCAGCTTTCATAAAAATTACGCAGCTAACGCAGGCAACCAAGATTGAACATATAACTTTTTATATATACCACTTCAAGTGGCCATTTGAAGAAAAATTACAAAAAATATACCAAAATTCAACTTTATATTATTTTTCATATGACACCAATATTGAATATATAAAATTAAAAAATAATTTAACACTTTAAAAATTATTCCGTATCTGTTTTAAAGTGCTATATATATTTTTATTTGTATTCTGAATATTACAAAAAATTGTTGGATGATCCCAGATCAAGAGTCGGTTAACTAATAAACAATAATATGAAGAAATTGAGAAGCAAAAAAATAATTCATCAACAATCACTACCGTATATCCATAATATTATGACGACAACACATAATACACAGATGAATTGTTGTGAAAGAATAATAGAGGTCCTCTACAAGAATAATCAGAAATTGACCTAAATAGGAGTAAAAACGTTTTGAAATTCCAAAATAGGAGTATCATGTTTTTTTATTCCCTGAATAGGAGTAAATTTCTGCCAAGTTTGGCATTACAAGGCTTTTAAACATGACATTTTCTTCCAAACTTGGCAGATTACACCTATTCAAGGAATAAAAAACATGATACTCCTATTTTGGAATTTCAAAACGGTTTTACTCCTATTTAGGGAATTCTCTCAAGAATAATATGTGCGGAATAAATTGTGTAGACACTTCCTCTCTCTAATCTAACCTGAGAATTCCAAGAATGATGTGTGAGGCTATTAGGAATCAGAAACTCTCATGCTATTCGATCCATTCCCCTTCTATCTATAGACGGATGGTCGAACATCCTAATGAAAGTAGGATGGGCCGTATAAAACAATTAAATGGCCCCTAATTAATTACAAAGGCCCACTAATTAAATCCTAATTAAACAAAGATAAATCTAATTAAATTGAACACAATAAAATATGTTCTAACAAAAATACATCAAAATTTATTATTTTTCATTATCTTTTATAGGGAAGAAATGTTTCATATACAAAAATAAAAAGAAAATATATTAATTTGTGTAGTTTAGGATCGTTTTTTACCATGCACACAATTAATCAAGAGTGATAGACTAAAAAAAATTACATAAACTCTATCACATTATTTATTTATTTATTTATTGCATGAGAATTAATGTTGTTTTATTTCATATGACACGAATATTTAATATATAAAACTCCGGAGTGCATGGTACGATCCTAAACTACAAAAATTAATAGACTTTCTTTTTATTTTTCTATATGAAACATTGCTTTCCTATAAAAGATACTACCTCCGTCCCTAAATGTTCTTCCAAAATAAAGTGGCACACTGATTAAGAAAGTGGGAATTGTGTGGTGGAGAGTTGTGCAGAGCAGAGAGAAATGCTGTGAACCACAAATTCTTTGCCAAAAAGGGAAAGTGAAGTTCTTTTTGGGACGGATGAAAAGGGAAAGTTGGAAGTTCTTTTAGGGACGGAGGGAGTAATAAAAAATAATAAATTTTGATATATTTTCTGTAATAATCAGAATACAAATAAAAAATATGTAACACTTTAAAAAGAGATACGATTACATAGTAATTTTTAAAGTGTTAAATTATTTTTTGATTTTATATATTCAATATTGGTGTCATATGAAAGATAATAAAAAGTTTTGATTTTTGGTATTTTTTTTGTAACAATCAGAGTAAAAATAAAAAAGTTATAACACTTCAAAGAAAATGGGAGATTTTTAATTTTGGTGGGACCCATTACCATACACAAATGACTTTGGTTTTACATCTTGGTTGTCTGCGTTAGCTGCATAATTTTTATGAAAGCCGCCGAGTGACGGCTCTTGTACTGTAAGAGAAAAGTCATCACTTCAAGTGACGACTTTCCTTAATCATGGTTAATCCAACAGTATTTTGGAAATTATTTTTAAACCAACAGTATTTTGGGAATTATTTATTTAGTTAGTATTATTCCGGGAAAAAACTCAAATTTACGTTGGAAAGAATTTATACTGTGTTTTAAAAGAAATTTCACCAAAATATTGCAAGTCAAAAATATGTTCAAATATCGGAATCTCCTAAGACCATGAGTCCATGACTAAAGTGGGTGTTTGGTAGCCGTTATTAAGGGATTTGTCTTGTTAGCTAGACATTACGAAGTATAAGACAAATTCTAAATTTCCCTCATGATATGGACCATATGGTATATTGTGTATAAATTTATCTTTTATAATGAAATGTGATGTAAATGTGAGATTTTTTTCAATAAAATGACAATGTTTGCATTGTAACAATGTAACTTATGTAACCAAAATTTGTGACATTTTCTTTTACATTGTTACATTCTTCCAATGTTGTGACATTTTCGTGACATTCTGACACTTCCCTATATTTTGACAATTATTACAATGCTATGACATTATTTATTTTGGCAATGATTACAATGAAAATGTTTATAATAACAATGTTTAACATCACCGCCTCTTTGAGTTAGTACAATGGCATGCACTGGGCCATCAGTGGCGGCGGCCGTGGCCGTCTTCCTTTGTCGATTCGAAACTTCACCGGAGGCCGTTGCTATGAGTGGTGAAGGTCGCCAAATATGTAGTCCATCGCTTCATTTAAAGGAATTCATGCTTCATTTGTTGTAACATTGTTCATATTGACAATGTCTGACATTGTGACATTTTTTTATAAAACAATGTCCAAGTTTTATAGAATTGATATTAATTCTTTTTAATAATGTCATTTTTATAGCGTTGCCATTGTCGGCACAGATATTGACATTGCCATTATTACAATGTCATTTTTATAACATTGATATTGTTATTATTTGACATTGAGACATATTTCCAACATTGTGACATTTTTCTTGACATTGCAATAATTTATTGTTATATTAAAACAATGTACGGAGTAATTTTTTTTATAGCATTTATATTGTTTTTAACCTAAATGATTGTTTTTTATACGAGTAGCATTTTAGTGAATTAACAAGAGTGTGCTTTTATTCTCTAGGGATGAGAACAGTAATTCACTTTGGAACAGGGTGGGCTTTTATTCTTTCATTCTATCATTCGAACCTAAGTCGGGCAGAAGAAGATCCTCATCCGTTTGCTTTTTTCTAATTCCTGAAGCCTAGCCTCCACCTCACCCGTACGCTTTTGAGCAAAATCCCAGCCCCATTCTAGATGTATTCCCTTAGGCTTCTTATTCTAGTTGTTGACCTGTTGCGGTGGCAGCTGCAGGGGGAAGATATGGCGGTGGCAGCGAAGTGCAGAGTTAGGCGGCAAATGGGCGAGGCAGCAGGGGCAAGTAAGGAGACTCCGTCTAGGTGCGGCGGCCGGAGGTGGCGATGGTGTGTTATGGCGGTGACAATAGAAGATGGAAGGTGAATATTCTGGATGGAGTTTTAATTGCTGTGAGCAGCACCGTGTGTCCGTAACTAAGAGGAAAAGCAGCGAGCGGAACAATTTTAAATGTAAGGGTAAATTTGTCCTTCAATACAATTTTAGTCCTATTTAATTTAAAATTCTCGCTCCTCCTATTTAGATGCAATGCCTATGTTTTGGTCCTATTGAGGTCTATATCCAGTGTTCTAAAAGGCTTGCAAAAGCGCCACCTAGGCGCGCCAACACTTGATCCGGCAACAAAACGCCTCGCCTACTCAATAGGCGTGGTAAAAGGCGTCTACTTTGAATACACGGTTCGGGTATGGAATGTCTATTATATCGAGTTTTCGGAAGGAGGGATTACTAATTCATCCGGTGTGGGAAACCTGAATTCGAAGTATACAATACGTACATACGAAAGTTGGATTTGGACTGTTCTTGGAAGGAGGGATATACTAATTGGTCCGGTGTGGGAACTTCAATTCGAAATATACAATATTACAATAATAATACATACAAATCAAAGTTAGATACTTAGATTACACCGTCGAAATGCCAACTCACCCAGTTACACTTGAATTTTTTAAAGCTACATCCATATTCATCAAACACAATCTTTCTTTAGTGTATTTATTATAACTATTGTTAATAAGTATTATTTTATCAATTGTCCAAAAAAAGTATTATTTTATCAACCAACTTCTTCTTTAATTCGTGTATTTGTATAGTTAGTAAACATGTAAACACATTATTTGTGCTTGAAAATATTACCAAATATTACTAGAATATTACTAACAAAAAAATCATGAACAAAAATAAGACTTTATAACTATTAGTAACTATAAATGTATTCACAATTACCTGAGTACATCGCAGTGACTACACATGTAGCACTATGATGTAACTTTGAACATAACTATAATTAATAATAGTTATCAAGTCACATTTTTTTCCACAATTTTTCTATGAGTAATATAAGTTTTTTCTTTTTGTATAAAAATGTAATCTTTATATGTGATATTATGTAATACTACATATAAATACGAAATAATAGTAAAAAAACTAAAACGCCTTTTCACGCCTAGGCCTCGCCTAAACCCGCCTAGGCTTCAAAGGCTTCGGGCTTGGTCGTGCCGCCTCGGCACGCCTTACGCCTTTTAGAACATTGTCTATATCCCCATCCGCTACTTTCCTTTTAATTACAATTTTGTGGAAAGTGATTTAGAGGCATGTTACGCTTTTTGGAACGTTATCTCGCTAAGCTTAATTTAATTAAATAACGGTTATAAAGCGTTAATCTTTATTGGGAAATTATAAGAAACTAATTAAATTTACAGAGTTTTTTCCTGGAATAATGCTAAGAGTCAATTCCCTAAATAGGACTAAAAAGTGGCAAAATTGCACAAATAGGACTACATTTTTTAAATTCCCTTAATAAGACTATTTATGTGTGTTTGACCAAATATACCCTTGTAACTTGTGAAATGTTTTAAT